CAAGCAGGAATGTCTGGTTGGGGATGATTTAGACCCGGCTCTAAAGAGGGGAGCCATTTTCGGAGAACGTGCATGGGGGGGATTGGCTCGGCCGTAGAGAACGCTGAAGACCTTGCCAGACAGCACGGGATCATCCTAGCACGCCCCAACGTGCGCAAGGCACGGTGGCGGATGAGGGTGCGAAGTGCCTAGGTGGGTTTCTGTTTGTGTAAATCTGGGGAATGGGCCGTCAGGGGCCGCCGCAGTTAATTGGGTAGGGCCCATGCGAGCGAGCACGAGAGACAGACCCTGGTATCCTGTTGCACCGCGGGAGGGAGCAGGAGGAACAGGAGGAGAACCTGCTCCTCCTCCTCCTCCTCCTCCTCCTCCTTCTCCAGGCGGCCCGAGGCCGCCCAGCAGCGCAACAGCCGTCTACCGACACAAACAACACATCACACGAGCAGCGGGCCACGATGTTCCCTCCTCGTGCATAGAGCCGCACGGCGGCGGCGCTGCCCCGCGAACTTCATGGGCAGAGAGAGTGGATCGTTGAGAGCAGTATGCTGCAACCAGTGCGTGGCGAGGTACACGGAGCGGCTGAAGGACACCGTGCTGGCGCTGACGAACAGGGACATCTACGTACTAGCAAAGTCGTATGGAGAGCAGATAAGCGAGACTTGTATGATCGACATCACCTGGGTGGTTGGGCTCAGGCGTGCATATGTCACTGCATCATCTGGCATCACATTCCTCATCAAGACTTTCAGGCTTCCCAGACCCATGTTGGAGCGGATATACCCCTCACCAGTGTTATGGTGGGGACGATGTGCTGCTACCAGCTTTCAGGCTATATTGGAGGCGACTGGATTTATTGTGCTGTACTTCCCCCTTCGGCAGACATCGGCAAAACTGCACAATAATCACGAGGAAGCCTGCCAGAGAATGGTGCAGTTTTTTTCAGATATTTCTGGAAGAGGTGTCCTGCGAACAGTTCATTCCTCTTGTACTCACGGATTTAGATGGTGGGCTCCCTCGTCAGATGATGACAAAGGAGTTGGACCCTGTGGACATGGCAAGGAAAGCTACGCGTGTGTGCAGTTATGTCCGTGTCTTGAAGTGTGGGGCCTCACAGCAGCCAACACTCATCACTACAGCGCCTGTTACATAGACCTTTTTGTATTCCAGTGGAGATACATAGTTCTGCTGAACGGTGCAATGCTATGTGAGACTGGTAAAAGACTACAGCTACATGATGTTGGTGAAGTACGTGATGACTGGCCTGTGCAATGGGTTGTTCGTCGTGGCGCAGCATGGGGGCAACTTCCTGAGGGGACTCCCCGTCCCAACCGTGAGGCGCGATTCTGTTGCCTGCAGCAGGGACACAAAGGGCAGGCGCTGTTTGATGTCATGGAAAGGAAGTGCCAGGAGCATCACAACCTGTTGAACGAGCGTGAGGCGCAACAAAAGCTCGAGCGGATGAATGTTTTTTTTGTGCATGTTGTGGTCAGTTCTTCAGTGGAACGGTTGCATACGAGCCCTCTCTACATGGAAGACCGTCAGCAGCAGACCGCACTATTAAATCACATAGAAAAAAGGAGAGATTTGCGCCATCAGCGGTCATGGGCATTTACGATAGATCATATTGCAGTCTTATCCAACACAATCATGCAGGAGAGCAAAGAGCTGACGCAGTCCAACCATCGCTACTGGGACTCAATTACTGAAAGAAGATGCGAAGAAACGCGATGGGCTGCCAAGGACAACGATTGCCACCTAGTGCAACGTCTCGCTCGATTGGACAGAGGGCCTCGACAAAGAAAGTTTGCAGCGACACCGAAATCGACTGCAAGTGCTGCAGGATGGTGTACCAGGATGGAGCTACCCAGTGGGAAAGGAGGATTTCACGCTGTTGAGGCTGGCGCTGAGCTTGTTCAAACCGAGGTCATCGCTGAAGGACGACCAGCTCTCACTGACGAAGAAGCTATGGAGTTATCGACTGATGATTAGACAACAAACAGCTTAGCGAAACCTTGGAGAGCGTACCCAGCATGGTCGATACCCGAGGCGGACCTTGATCAAAAAAAAACGGTTTCACGCAGTTGAAGTGGATCCGACATGTGAAGGGAGTCTAACCCAGCAGATGGCACCACTTAATTCTGGAGATGTCTTATCTTGTAAAGTACATGAAGTACGGTATCTGGTACGCAAACGCCATGCAATACTGGGTGGCACGGCGACCTGGGATGAGGAAAAGCAGCACGTCAGTACTATAAGCGGGCTTGAGGTAAAAACGCTCCGACGTGCTCCACTGTTCAGTGAACTTCGCATTCGCAGATTGGAGCGGCAGCAAACTATGATGCAGGATCGGGATCAACACAATCAGTTCGTGTTTACGTGTTCTAGAAAGTCTGCTCTCAATGGAGGTTTTATCTCGGAGGAGGGGGTGGCGCGGCCCTATGCACATCCGCGGGCCGACCAGTTCCAGTATGACTTGGAGGCACTAAAGGAGCTGGGGATGGGGGAGACAACGTGGGACACTGGAGGGAGCATGAAGAACATCAGGAGTGAGGGCTACGAGGATTTCACAAAGGATGATTGTGATGAACTACGAGCTAAGATACGAACTACGCCCATTAAGAGCACGCGCAGTCAAGTACATCATGAGAGCGAGTTCATATGTAAAGAAACTCTGGCAGACGACACGATATGCAACACGGCATGGCCCACGCGCAGCAGCGGAGCTACTCGAGGCTATCAGCGAGCCCGACAGTCAGTCACACCAGGTCTGGAGATGTTGACGGCACCATACACGCTGGGGGGCATGGTATTGGGAATTGAATCAGGTATATCAGAGCTACTCAAAGCCGCTGGCGGAAATGTGATACGTGGCAATATGGGTTGCAAGTCGAGGCTGCATGAAGTACCATCGCACATTATTATCTGGTCAGTGCACCACAGATCGACGGACGGAGTGGCCTCTACTTACGCCTCAACCACGGTGTTGACATGGAGTCGCATTGCGCGCTGCCCACCAGTGTCATGACATCTCTCGAGGGGGTAGACCCGTAGAGCCCATATAGGTGCCCACGACGGCTTAAATGCGACGGAGCGCGTATCCCCTCGAGTTACGTATATATGTATATACTTGGTGGTCAGCAGAGTCTTTGAATTGGCTGTCTGGATAGCATCTATCACTGAGTTTGATGTGACATCAGTATTTCAAGATGGAGTGAAGTGTCTATTCTCGCTATTCCAAAGTGGCTAGCGCCATCTGAGTCCGAGCGTGGTTCACCCGCGTGTTGTCCTCTTTTGGAGCCTGGGACCACCACTAGGCCGAGGCCTAATGGCCTAGGCCCGTGGAGGCGGTGTTCTGAACTCCTCCTGAAGTAGCGTGTCTGCGACGCCGTTTGAGGTGGGTGTCTTGGGTCTCTTATGTGTCAAAGGCCGCTGCGTCCCCGCCCACCACCGCCTCCGTGGTGATGGGTATCCCCTTCGGAAACAGTAGCCACCACGGTGGCGAATGAAGGTTGCAGCAGCCTAGCTCGAAGGTCACGTCAGACCTTTCGCATCCCAGGAGCTCGCCTTCGGTTGTGAAATTCGAGCGGTGGATTTGGGTCTTGTCCTCACTGGCCACCGCTGCAGTGCTACCACACCTTCATCCTCCTCCTCCGCCTGGCCCCGCTGTGCTGCCCTCTTGCTAGCCAATCGTCATAATCTGTCAGTGCTTGAGCGGATTGCGACTAGCGACAGGTCTCCCCCCCCGAATTTGTGCCCAGCCAGTTGAGTTCAACGGCCAGGCCCCCGCGCAGGCAACTTAGTGTTGCATCTGCCAGCGCGTGTGGCTCTTAGAGCTAACAAGATGAAGGGGGTGCATATAAGTTGTACCCCCCCAGGTTCGGTCAGGATGTGACATCGAACTGAATGGGTGAGAGCGAGCGAGCGAGCTCCTCCTCCTCCTCCTCCTCCTCCCTCCTCCTCCTCCTCCTCCTCCTCCTCCTCCTCCTCCTCCTCCTCCTCCTCCTCCTCCTCCTCCCTCCTCGTCTCCCCCCTTCCTCGGTCCTCCTCCTCCTCTGCGTTCCCCTGCGGCCCCCTCGCTCGGCCCCCTCGGAGGCCCGTCGTGCTCGACACCTGCGGTCGTTGCCTCGGCCTTTTTCGGCCCCCTCCGCTCGCCGGCGGGTCTCCGCGTACCGATTCTCCGAGGCGGGAATCTGTCCATAACCACCGCCCGGGGGGTCGATCTTCGCGGACCTCCACAGGCGGTGGATATGGACATATTCGGGCCCCCGGGGGCCCAAGTATATCCATATCCGCCGCCCGCCGGGGCACCAGGACGTCGGTTCCCAGGCGGTGGATATGGACAAGTTCCCGCCTCGCAGATTCCTTTGTATCTTTTCGGGGCGTGCCTCTCACGGGCGCAGGCCAGTGCGCGGTCCCTGGGCGGTCTCCCTGCTCTGCCGCGCGCAGGGTTCAAAAGATGATGAGAACCCAGAGAAAAATATATTGGTTTCGTGGATGGCACCCGAGCTCGAAATCCATGAAATGGGAGGCAAGACCACGACCTCACAGCGCATCGCGGCCGCGTCCCCCATCCCCGAAGGCAGGCGGGGGCGCCAGGAGGAGGGCCAGAGGGGCGCGGTGAGCGCCGGGAGAGGCGCAGAAGCCCCAAGGTTCCCTGTCGAGCCCGTGCGGCTTCGGGGCCCCTGCAGCCGCCGAGCGGGCCCCCGAGTGGGCTCGCCCGGCGGCGGAGCGGGGCTCGAAGGCCGCCCTGCGGCATCCCGATCTGGTCCGTTCGGGGGCCCCCTTCGGCTGCCGCGGGTGCTCGGGCGCCGAGTTGGCGCAGGAGTGGGGGGCCACATGGGAGCCCTGCCCCTATCCCCCACGATCTCCGAGGGGGAGGGTGGGGCTTACTTCGTGGGGTGTAGGGGTGGGATTCGCATGTGGCCCCCTACAGGAGGAAGCTCTTGGGGGGGGGGGCGGCACGGCTGGGATGGGTGCCGTGGCGAGGAGGGCGCGGGTGCGGGCGAGCGGGAAAGGGCACGCGTGGTGCGTGGTGCGTGGTGTTGGGTGGGGCCGCGGGCGTTGCTAGCACTGCGGAGGCTGGGGGGGTCGTTGAGTCGTCAAGCGCGCCATGGAAGGTGTGGGCCGCGCTTGACTACCCTGCGGGCATTGAGAAGCCGAGCGCCGAGGCCGTGTTCAACGACGTGGATATTGACCGCGACGGCATTCTCAATTTCGACGAGTTTGTTGCCTTCGCTTTCGACCCGAATCTGCTGGACGAGACAGCCAGGGAGCAGTACTTCCACAGCGCCTTCGACTGCATCCGGAGCTCCGACAACGGCGTCGACCGCGTCGGCTTCAAGGAGCTGTTCGCGGTGGAGGCGTTCCCGTTGGTCGATCGCCTGTTCGACGAGATTGACGCTGACCATTCTGGCAAGATTTCGTACGAAGAGTTTGCGAAGTACGTGCTGGATCTGAACAGGTGCGGGCCCGATGCTGCCTCAGGTTCAGCAATCCCGCCCCCTGGCCGTCTCTATCCGGGAGGGATACAGAATATCGATGACCCGCGCGTCGTCTCTCACACAGCGCGTGTTATTCAATCGCCTTTACAACACACATTCTTCTTTCAATATAAACGCGCCGATTGGGTTTCCGACTGGCGTGACATTGATGTTGTTCTTGCTCGCCTGTTCATGAGGACAGAAGGAGGCCAGGACGATTGGTCGAAGGGCTTCGGGTGGTTAGCGCAGCGCGCTGGAGCCCTTCAGCCGAGCACCCGACTATACGCAAGGGTGATTTGTCGCAAGAGTGACCTCTGGTGCGGGCCCATTGGAGATTGTTTTTTTCTTTTGTTGAACCGGTAACGTCCGTGACGGGGGAATCGCCCCCCCCCCCGGTCACGGTAACACGCGTATACGGGGAAGGGGGGGGACTCCCTCCCAACAGCTATGGCGTTGTGCTCACAGGCATGGTGTGGTGCGGACAGGCATCGTATACGTAGCCTCCCAGCGCCTCCAGAGGCTCCAGTCGTCGTCGTCGCCGCCGTCGTCGTCGTCGTCCTCGTTATCGTCGTCGTCCTGTCGTCGTCGTCCTCGTCCTCGTCCTCGTCGTCATCGTCGTCGTCGCCTCCAGCATCGCTGTCGTGTTGTGATGATCGCGTTGTCGTCATCGTCGTCGTAATTGTCGTCGTCATCATCGTCGACGTCGTCGCCGTCGGCGTCGTCGTCGTCGTCGTCGTCCTAGTCCTCATCGTCGTCGTCGTCGCCGTCGTCGTCGTCGAAGCCGCCACTGCACCTCAAGCAGCGTCGGCGCAGGCGGCTCCCCACCCGTCCCCTCGGCGCGCCCGCCCGGCCGCCGCGGGGGGCCCCGCCGAGCCCGCGGCGCAGTGCTGCGTCGGGCTCGCGGCCAGGGCGGCGGCCGCGGGGAGGGACAGGGCAGCTGCGCCCTTCCCCCCTCCTCCCCCCCCTCCCCCTCCGCATGCGCACGCACACGCCATGGCGCATCGTCTGCGGTTGGTTGGCTGGGACCCCTTCACCCTGAAGGGGGCGATCCGCGTGGAGGAGGTGTCCGACGCCTTCAGCAACACGAACGTGCTCCTCCTACCTGGAACCAAGCTACGAGCCCGACCAGGACACACCCACACCCACGAAAAGACACACCGACACCTCTGGGTACATTTTGGGTGGGCCAGGGGGAGCATGACGAACGCGTCGGCAGGGTGCTCGATCGCACTCGCTTCCAGCAGGTTCAGGGCCAAAGACATCATCATAATCAACACCCCCCCCACGGAGCTCCAGGGAAGAGGGGGATCCCTCGACGTCTTCCAGGGCAGCTTCAGGGCCAGGTTCATCGTCGGGTACTTCCCGCCACGCCCCTCCGCTGCTGCACAGATCCGTCAATTGAAGGTTGCTCGCAAGCGCCTGCTTGACTGGGTCCTGGGGGAGGTTAACAGCACGCTGGCCAGGGTTGTGCCCATGTTCTTCGGCGACCTCAACCTTAACCTTGGCCGGCAGAAAGGCCTAGTTAGTGACGACCAAGCCGTGGGACCTTACCAGGCGGCGGCGGAGAGCGACGCCGGCCAACTTCTACACCGACGGCTTCTAGGTTACGAGCTTTGCGTGGCCAATAGTTACCACGATCTTGGTTATTCATTCTTCGGCAACGGAGGTGCGCGCTCACGGGTTGACTATTGTATAACACCCCAGCCGTTGCTAAACAATATCACCCGTATGTTCATGTGCTGTCGCAGCCATAGGAAACTACAGGTACTCCCGCGCATGTTATACCACATCCCGATGGCCATGGATGTCACTGTCATCGCTCCGCCGTCTCCTCAGGACAGGGGGTACTGTGTTTGGGACTGGGGGATGATAGCGGCGGGCCTGCAGATCGGCCACTCTAGGAAAGAGTTCCTGTGCGACCTGCAAGACGGGCTCCAGCGAGCAGCCCCCGTCCTGGACGCCATCATTGCCGGTGGCGACCCCACGCGACACGCAGCGGTAGTCAGCCACATTATACGCACCACGGCCGAGAAGCACTACTCAAAGCACAGCAGCGCGCCACAGTGGATCACAGATGCACGCGTGGAACGCCTACACCTACTTCGGCAGCGCGCACGCCTACGTGAGCAGGGTGCACACGTTTGTTCAGACGAGATCAAAGTGCTTACACGCCAGATTAAGAAGTTCCAGAGGTGGAAGAACGAGTGGTGGACGTACTCGACAGAGTCAGAATTACGAGAAGCGTGGGCTAGGAGAGAGACGGCACGAGTAGCAGAGCTTGCACGACTACGCGCAGGTACACGAATGGGAGCACGCAGTCGCACGTAATTGGCACTTCCTGCTGCGCGCCCTCTCGCCTCCTCCATCTCGGCCGCCTTCGCTCGCCTTGGGACAGAGGGAGGGTTATCAGCCGAAGCAGTTCATGACAGCATGCGGGTAAGGGATACACAAGCAGTCGAGAACCTCCTCGCCGCCTCCCCCTCCGACGTCTCCCCCATCGGCATGATCTGCGCGACCCCGACGAGCGAGGACTATACCCGGGCTCTGGATGATCTGCGCTTCATAGGCGAGCGGCGGCATCGTCGATACAGCCCTCCCTGGTCGTGGCCCGTGGAAATATCCCAGATGATTTTCGATCCGACGACCCTCGCGAAACCGACAGATCAAAGAGCAGGTCTCGGTCATGATGACGCAGACTACCCCGTACTTCAGAGGCCTTCAGAGAACCCTGGACTAGGGTGGAACGACGCTCGCGTGAAGATCCGCCGCCCCGACAAGCGCAAGTTAGGAGCCATCTCTAATGAGGTCAAGGCGGAAGCACTTGCGGTCCTAGCATCGCTACTTGCACACGTTCGAGCTGCCAAGAGGTTGCCACGCCAGGCCGTGACGAGCCATGGCATACTCATTCCCAAGAAGGCGAAGCGACCGACGGGCGATCCCATCCTGGACATCACGGCATGTTTGCGAACGATACATTGTTTCTGCCCCTGGTGGAGATTATACCTACGTGTAGGCTTAACGGTTTATGGATCAACCGATGCTGCCCCTGGCTGGGCGCACGGTGGAATCCGTCAGCGTCGCCGAGAGGCATTGGCGACCACTGTTAAAATACTTGAGTGGAAACTTCGGCGACAGGGTTATGCTTATATGATTGCGTCCTACGATATGCGAAACGCTTTCGGCACCGGCCACACACAACGACTACTTGATGCGCAGGCAGACCGGCACCCCTCGCGACACTTTGCACGCATGTTGGAACTGCACCTCGCCGAGGCTGTCATGCGTTTCGAGGCTGCGGACGAGCCTATATGTGTTCGACCCACAGAAGGAGGCAGGGTGGGCGACTCTAACGAGCCCGAACTGTTCATGGGAGCTTTTTATCGTCCCGTCCAGCGCTGGCGCGAATCCTTAACCGAGGTCACGGGCCCCCTGTTCGACTCCGTCTGCCCGATTACCCACGCCGTCCAGGACCTGAGTCGCGGGGGCTTCATAGATGATTTGATCAAGGTCTTCATCATCCCCGAGGGGTCCCCCCAGCACGCCCTCCTTTAGATAAGCTGGACAACAACATCCTCAATAGGGAGCTCCGCCAGGATGGGCACGCTCAAAACGTAGCTAAACAAGATACCCGAGTACGCCTGCGACGCGCCCAGGACACTCAGAAGACAGAACCGGCGATCAGCGGTGCCCCAGTTGTCAACATGATTCACCTTGGAGGCCTTATTGACGTCAATGGGTCCAACCATAGAGAGATCACACAGAGAATACGTTCGGGCAATCTTGGGTGGCGTTCTCTGAGCAGGTTCTGGGCAGCCGCCCCTGGGCCCCTTCGCTGCAAACGTTTTTTTTTTTTTTTTTTTTTTTTTTTTTTTTTTTTTTTTTTTTTTTTTTTTTTTTTTTTTTTTTTTTTTTTTTTTTTTTTTTTTCTTCTTCTTCTTCTTTCCTTTTCCTCTTCTCCCATCCAACGTGGCGGGGCGGGCCTGGTCGGGGCTCGAGTCGTGCGTTCTCCTAGAGAGTGAGACGCGACGCTTGGGCCGATCGCTGGCCGAGAAGATGCGCACCCTCCTCCTAGGCCAGGCCCATCAGGAACTGGATGATGGGGGGGCGCGTATCCCTCGCCAACAAACATGTCTTCGAGGAATTGGACATGGCCCCGACGGCGATCGAGCTGCTCATTCGACGTTCCGTGTGGTGGCAGTTGATTATTGTTGACCCTGCACACCACGCACATTTCCTAGCTGCTATGTTCGGCCCATGTAAGTTCGAACTGTCTGGATCTGATCCCGAAATGAAGTCCCCTCTCACGAGTCGCGGCCTTCTGCGCGATCACCCTGATGTTCACCCCTGGGCCCGTCAGTTTCGAGAAAACTTAGAATTTTTGCTGCGCCGCCCGATGGCGTCCGATCTGCACGATTTGTGGCACCCGATGATCATCGCCCGCTTGTTCCATGACCCCTCGATCAGCGAGCGTTTCCGCCAGTGCGACATGCGGGAGCTACGCGTGACAGTTCGTTGCCAAGGAATGGGCGCCGCCAGAATCCTCACCCGTCCCCCACCACCTCCCCCCATCCACTGTGATCGAGGAGGATTCGGACGAGGAGGTGACGGGGCTTGTCTGCAATATCGAGGACTGCGCCAAACGATTCCCGTCTCTGCGCCAACTTGCGATCCAGCAGGTTCATTCGAAGGCCCCAGGACGCGGATGCCCCCCGATCCTCACGACCATCACCGTCGACAACAGGTGCCGGATGTGCAACGCGACCTTCTCGTGCATTGAGCATGCGACACGTCATCACCGCAGATCGTGGCTCCAGGGGCGATGCCTTCCTGAACTAACCCGTCACCAGTATCAGTATGTCCCGACCGACCGTCGCCTCTGCCCCTACTCCCAGGTGTCGAGGAACCCTAACTGTTGCGAGCCTTTCGAGACGGCCGAAGAGCTGTGGGCCCACGTGTGCGCCCGCATCCCGCCGTCGCCATGCGGTTCAAACTGGATAAGGTTGTCAGCGCCGACCGCTCCGACAGCGGTCTCGAGGTCCATCGGCCGCCCCAGCCGAGGGGCAGATTCGCGAACGGCCAGCCCCGCGTCGGGCCTCCTTCGCGGACACCGCGGAGGCGCGGCGCGCTCTACAGCGGGCGCCCCACCAGCGGCACCTGCTCAACTTCGAGGCGCGCAACGTCGACCTCAGCCTGGCCCTGTACCACGGCTTCTACCGCTTGAGCGAGGCCCACCTGGCCGACGGGCTGGCCTCCCCATCGCCTGCTGCAGCTGCCCCGCATCTACCTGGGCAGGGAGTGACAGCCACACCTACCTGGGCAACTCATGGCGGCCGCGGCAGCCCGCTCCGAGAGCGGCGCAGCGGCGGGGAGCGGAGCCAACGCGAGCAGCGTGGCACCGCGAGCAGCTTGGCGCCTCCAGCCGGCGGCCTCATCGCGCCGCTCGCAGGCCGGTGGGAACGGAGGCTCCGGCAACGACAAGCAGCCGCACAAAAAGGTGAAGACGGGCGCTGGGGGGCGCGATGGATACCGAGGACCACGACATGGGCGTGGAGGACAAGAACGCGACGAAGAAGGACGCAGGAGCACCTCAGCGCAGGCGCCGAGGGGGGCAAGCGCCATCGGCGCGGAGCCCACGCCGAGAAGACGTGGACCAACCGCGACAAGACCCTCCACCAGATGCTCAGCGTCATGGGCAAGCTGGTGCTCCAGACGAGCCACCGAGCTCGTCTGGCCATGGCGACGTCCGTCGACACGGTCACGCTCGCGACGACCCACAGGCTGGTGGTCGCCATCGCGGACGAGCTCGAGACGTTCAAGGCGCAGGTGAAGCGCTTGCGGTCAGGAGACGACACGCTGAAGCAGTAGCTCAAGACTCTCGGGCCGCCGACGGCCTCGCTGGTCTTGGCTGCCGTGGAGGCTCTGGTCCTCTGCGACGTCGGCGGCAGGTGCAAGACCACGCGAACGGCGATCCAGAGAGCGACCACACCATCACGAGGACAGCGATCGAGGACGCTGTGCCATTCAGCAGGCTCGAGAAGTGCCACGATACGTCGAAGACCAAGATCCTGTTCGCCATGAGCGAGTGGGACCAGCGGACCACAGTCCTCGCCGCGCCGCGGTGCGAGGGCCCAGGCATCATCCACACGGGAGCGATGCCCGCAGGATGGCTCGAGGAGGAGCTGTCGACGTGGCTGGGCGCCCTGGCGGTCTAGAGGGCGAACCCGTACATGATAGCGAGCCGCTACTGCTTCCCCAGCCGCGCGGGCCCGCTGCCCGCGAGCTGCCCGCGATCTCTCTCTCTCTCTCTCTCTCTCTCTCTCTCTTTTTTTTTTTTTTTTTTTTTTTTTTTTTTTTTTTTGTTTATCTCTCTCTCTCTCTCTCTCTCTCTCTCTCTCTCTCTCTCTCTCTCTCTCTCTCTCCCCGTGCTATTCGTCCGTGCCAGCTCCCCTGTCGCGGTAGAACAAGTTTGTGGCGAGCTTCCCTCTCTCTCGGCCGGTCGGCCCCGTGCCAGCTCCCCTGTCGCGGTAGGACAAGTTTGTGTCGAGCTTCCCCCTCTCCCCAGTGCGCCGATGATAGTGTGCGCTGCCACGCGCAGCGCTCAGCCGAGCCCGCCACCAGCCCTGCCAGACTCAGAGACTGATCGGGAGGGCGCATCACAGAGTCCCATTGGTCAGGACTACAGTGCGGATGAAGAAGCCGCCGCTTTCTTAGGGCAAAATCTCCTTCCCCCCCGCGCTGCCAGCCTTGCTCGTCGCCGCTCGAGTTCCTGACTGCGTGCACGCGCCCTGCGAGAGACGGAAGACTGCCCTCCGTGCGACGGGATTTTTCGATTGGCCTCGAGAGAGGGGCCAGCCGTTGCAAGACGTGAGCCAGCATCAGGCTCATGCACCATCCCAGATGTCGACGTAGAAAAAAGTCGTCGTCGTCGTGGTCATCCCAGAGGGCCCCGCAGAGCCTGCAATCGCCTTCAGAGGCCTCCGGAGATCTCATGAGGCGAGATCTCTGGAGACCTTCAGAGGCGGCCAGCGTCGTCATCGTGGTCGTTGCCGCCGTCGTCGCCGTCGTCGTCGTCGTTGCCGTTGTCGTGGTCGTCGTCGTCGTCGTCGTCGTCGTCGTGGTCGTGGCCGTGGTCGTGGTCGTGGCCGTGGTCGTGGTCGTCGCCGTCGTCGTCGTCGTCGTCGTCGTCGTCGTGGTCGTCGTCGTCTCCGAGGGCCTCGAAGAGCCTCCAGACGACTCCAGAGGCCTCGAGAGACCTCCCGAAACTTCTGGAGACTCCCGGAGATCTTCATAGGCGGCTGCCGTTATCGTCGTCCTCGTCCTCGTCGTCGTCGTCGTCCTCGTCCTCGTTCACGTCGTCGTCGTCGTCGTCTTAGTTGTAGTCGTCGACGTCGCCGTCGTCGTCGTCGTCGTCGTCGTCGCCTTGTCGTCGTCGTCGTCGTCGTCTTCGTCGTCCCTGCCCTCGTCCACGTCGTCGTCGTCGTTGTCGCAATCATCGTCCTCGTCGTCGTCGCCGTCTTCGTCGTCGTCGTCCTCGGCGTCGTCGTTGTCGTTGTCGTTCTCGTCGTGCTTCCCGTCCTTATCTTGGTCCTCCTCTTCGTCGTCGCGTGTCCGAGGGCTTCGAATGGCCCCCAGACGCCCCCACATGCCTCCAGAGAAATCTTAAGGCAGCCAGAGACTTCTGAAGATCTTCAGTGGCGGCCGTCGTCGTCGTCGTCGTCATCGTCGTCGCCCTCGTCGTCGCCATCGTCGTCCTCGTTCTCGTCCTCGTCGTCGTCGTTTTCGTCTGCGTCGTCATCGTCGTCCTCGTCCTCGTCGTCGTCTCTGTCGTCGTCGTCATCGTCGTTGTCGTTGTATTTGTCGTCGTCCTCGTCGTTGTCGCCATCGCCGTCGTCGTCGTCGTCGTCGTCGTCGTGGTCGTGGCCGTGGTCGTGGTCGTGGCCGTGGTCGTGGTCGTCGCCGTCGTCGTCGTCGTCGTCGTCGTCGTCGTGGTCGTCGTCGTCTCCGAGGGCCTCGAAGAGCCTCCAGACGACTCCAGAGGCCTCGAGAGACCTCCCGAAACTTCTGGAGACTCCCGGAGATCTTCATAGGCGGCTGCCGTTATCGTCGTCCTCGTCCTCGTCGTCGTCGTCGTCCTCGTCCTCGTTCACGTCGTCGTCGTCGTCGTCTTAGTTGTAGTCGTCGACGTCGCCGTCGTCGTCGTCGTCGTCGTCGTCGCCTTGTCGTCGTCGTCGTCGTCGTCTTCGTCGTCCTTGCCCTCGTCCACGTCGTCGTCGTCGTTGTCGCAATCATCGTCCTCGTCGTCGTCGCCGTCTTCGTCGTCGTCGTCCTCGGCGTCGTCGTTGTCGTTGTCGTTCTCGTCGTGCTTCCCGTCCTTATCTTGGTCCTCCTCTTCGTCGTCGCGTGTCCGAGGGCTTCGAATGGCCCCCAGACGCCCCCACATGCCTCCAGAGAAATCTTAAGGCAGCCAGAGACTTCTGAAGATCTTCAGTGGCGGCCGTCGTCGTCGTCGTCGTCATCGTCGTCGCCCTCGTCGTCGCCATCGTCGTCCTCGTTCTCGTCCTCGTCGTCGTCGTTTTCGTCTGCGTCGTCATCGTCGTCCTCGTCCTCGTCGTCGTCTCTGTCGTCGTCGTCATCGTCGTTGTCGTTGTATTTGTCGTCGTCCTCGTCGTTGTCGCCATCGCCGTCGTCGTCGTCGTCGTCGTGATCGTCGTCGGCGTCGTCGTTGTCGATGCCGTTCTCGTCGTCGTCTCCGTCATCGTCCTCGTCGTCTTTGTGGTTTTTGAGGGCCTCGAAGGGCCTCCTAGGCCAGAGGCCTCCGGAGAAATCCTGCGGCGTCCAGAGTCTTCTGGAGACCTTCAGTGGCGGCCGTCGTCGTCATCGCCGCCGTCGTCGTCTTCGTCTTCTTCGTCGTCGTCGTCTTCGTCATCTTCGTCATCGTCTGCGTCGTCGTCGTCTTTCTCGTTTTCCTTGTCGTCCTCGTCCTCGTCGTCGTCGTCGTCGTTATCGTCGTCTTCGTCGTCGTCGTCATCGTCTTTCTCGTTCTCCTCGTCATCCTCGTCCTCATTCTTCTCGTCGTCCTCGTCCTCGTCGTCGTCGTCATCGTCGTCGCCATCCTTGTCGTCGTCGTCACCCTCGTTCTCCTCGTCGCCGTCGTCGTCGTTGTCGTCGTCGTTGTCGTCGTCGTCGTCGTCGTCTTCGTCCTGCCCCCGCGGGGCCTGCCCACGTTACCATTGCCCCCCCACGGGGGCCCGAGCCTCCCCCCTTTCACACGGACGTTTCTTGGGCCTCCGGATCGCGGAGTGCGATGTGATGGCAGCGGCGTTCGCGCCAACGTTTGCCGCCTGCCCCCCACCCCTCCCTGCCCCACTACAGCTAAGTCGTTGAAATAAGGAACAGTTTGGGTGAGCAAGAGGCTCGATATTCCTTAGGTCCTTCTATGGCTTTTCCTCCAGCCTTCCTCGTGCACGCAGGCGCTTCTGGGGCCAAGAAGGGGCTTCGTTCCTTGTTTATCGCTCCCCCTTTCAGCAGCCCGACTGTAGAGGCCGCTCGCCGGAGGTCACTCCTCGCCCATGGCCGCTCTCGCGTGCAGCCGGGGTGCCGGCCCCCTCGGCTCGCATCCTCCCCCGTCGGAGGAGGAGGGAGCGAGTCCACCGCCGCCGGCAGAGCCGCCTCCGACGAGGAGGTCCGCGAGGCCTCCCTGGGCCCCGGGCCGGTGGCACCACACCGCTACGACTGCCTCTCGCTCGCCCACTGGCCACGTCGGTGGCGGTCTCGCCCCTCCTCGCTCTCAGCCCGGGGGGGCCGGATTCGCTGAACTGGAGCACAACTGAGACGACAGACAATCGGGGGTGGGCAGAACCCCCACCCTGACACGTCGATTCGTGAATTGTCCGTTTTCGGTTCTCGAGAGGGCGCCGCGGCCGTCATTTTCCAGGCTTGCGCCCGCGAGGTTTGGGCCCGAGGTCGTTTTCTCTAAACCACGTTTTGCTGAAGGGGGTTCTGTCCATCCCCGACGGGGGCTGCCAGATTCGCTGAACTGGAGCACAACTTATACGACAGACAAGCGCACGAGTTTGTTCCCAGAAATCTGTTTTTTTCCGCACGGGCCGGCTTTTCGCCCCCTGAGCTTTTTTCGGGCTGTCCCAGGGCCCGACGCGGCATCCCAGAGGCGCAGTACGACGAGCAGCCTATGCTTTTGTTCCTTCTTCCAGCGGCAGCCACGCGCAGAAGGGGGGCTGGGGGGAGGGGGGAGGGCTTCTTAGAAGCACCCCTTCCTTAGCTGCCTCGATACGCACGTTTTGATACGCAACACGTACCGTGCTCAAGACGTCCGTGTCAATACGTTGCGTGTTGGCTCCACGTATTGGACCACGTTTTGGCGAATGTATCACGTCGGACCCACGTTTTCAACCTACGTGTTGAGCTCCGTATCAATACGCTGCGTGTTGCGTGTGGCGTATCGGTGCAACTAAGACCCCTTCTTCTAAGAAGCCGTCCCCCTCCCTTCACCCCCTTTTGCGACCGCCAACAGTGCGTTGGAGGTCCGCGAACCTTCGGTGGGCAGCGCGGGTCTCCGGGTCGGCGCCAGAGCCCTTCAGCAGCGCATCCGGCGCTGCCCCTTGCGCGCTCGGTGCGCCAGGGTCGTGGTGCGCTGGGGTATCCAGTGCCGATGCAAGAGATCCGTGCGGACCTCCGAAAGTGTCGGGGGTGGACAGACCTCCTGCAGTCAACGCGCCTAGTAAGGACGCGCGCCTTCATCTAGGATGCCCTTGTGTCCTTGCCTCTGAGGCCCGTCCTTGCCATTATCACTGGTCGCCCGCCGCCCTAAAAAACCCAACTTCGGCCTCCAAGGGTCTTGCGTCCTTATCACCCGTCCGTAATACACGTTTTGACTGTACCCTGACACGGCGATTAGTGAATTGTCCGTTTTCGGTTCTCGAGAGGGCGTCGCGGCCGTCATTGTTGCGGGTCCAGGTCCGTCGGTTTCGGTCCCAGGCAGTTTTCACTAAGGGGAGGTCTACTAAAGGGAGGTTTGGTCCACTGCCGACGAAAGTGTACCAGGAAGCTGGACGCACGTGCCGTGGCTGGTCCGGCCCAGAGCCAGAATGGCCCATGGCCGCATGTGCTTCCAGCGCTCGGCGCTCGCATGGTCGGGCGAGCTTGGCCCTCCGCACGTGCATCCAGCGAGTGGCCTCTCGATGTTCCACGCGTGGATCCGGCCCCGTGTGTCTCCAGCTTCCTGGCACGTCTGTGCCGACCTTTTCCCTCTGCCCGACAGGCCAGTGGAGGAGGTGAGGCGCTCGCAGCGGCTCGCGTCCTCCACGGTTGGCCGCTCCTCCGGAGCGGGTGCGCGCAGGCTGCCTGCCCTGGGCTGGGGGGGGGAGGAGGGAGGTGGGCTGTGGGAGCAGGAGGGAGGAGGGGGGTCGCGGCCGACGAGCGACAGGCTCGTGCTCTGGCTGCCACCGCTCGTTTCCAGTGGATGAGGTGGGCGTGGTGTGCGTGGCGGAGCGAGCCTCGGGTTGCGCAGCCGCGTGCCGGGAAGGAGGATGGAGGCGGGGGAGGTGGGGGAGGCGGCGGGGCGGTGAGGGAGGAGGAGGAGGAGGCAAATGGATGAGGGTGGAGGGCCGGATGACGATGATGATGATGCTGATGATGTTGATGCTGCTGATGCTGATGGCCATGATGATGATGGTGATGGTGATGATGATGCTGCTGATGATGATGACGATGATGATGATGCTGATGATGATGATGATGATGATGATGACGGTGATGCTGCTGATGATGATGATGATGATGATGATGATGATGATGATGATGATGATGATGATGATGATGATGATTGATTGTTGTGATGATGGTGATGATGGTGATGATGGTGATGATGAGGCTGCTGATGATGAGGAGGATGATGCTGATGATGATGATGATGATGATGATGAGGAGGAGGAGGAGGAGGAGGTCCAGTGCGAAGCCAAGACGCATCAACGATATTGCAATACATCCTCCCTTCCAGCTGTTCCTTCGTAGTTCCCCGAATGTCTTCATTGAGGAAAGTGGCCTATTCGAAGACAGCCGTCGGATAATCCTCAGTCGATCCACGCTGCAGATCTTGGTCATTCCGCAGTTCAAGGTGGCTGTTGCGTCCTGACTATCCTGAATCGTGCCAGAACGCAGTTCCTGGGACGTCAATCCCGCAAATCGTGATGCCTGTTGCGTCCTGTCGATCCCGAATCGTGTCAGAATTCGCTTCCTGGGGCTTCGACCGTGCGGATCTTCGAAACCGCTGCAGCTTCTAAGACGGCTGTGCTCGGCGCGAATGCGGGAGGCACACTATGAAAAATACCCCCCTCAGCTCCATGAAGCTTTTGGATTGGACTTTGAAGACGAATTTGTGCGGCGCGAATTGCGGGAGCCACGTTTTGAGCAGGCCCGCCCCTCATTCGTGAAATTGCTGCAAGCGGTGAAGACAAGTGTGCGCGGCGCTACGGCGAGAGCCACACTTTGAAAAGGACCCGCCCTCCATCCGTGAAGCTGTCGCAAACTTTTACTGCGAACGTGCCCAGACTGAAAGCGAGAGCCACATTTTGAAAAGGACCCGCCCCCCCCCCATCATTGAAGCTATTGCGCACTTCGTGGTTTTCAGGATATTTACGGGAAAATGGATGGAGGAGGAGGAGGAGGACGAGGCAGAGACGCATGGCGAGGAAGGAGAAGAAGAAAGAGGAGGAGGAGGAGCAGGAGAAGGAGCAGGAGGAGCCCGAGGAGAGGGAGGAGGAGGGAGCGACGAGAAAGAAAGGGAGAAGGAGGAAGAAGGAGGAGGACGTTGGAGGAGAAACGGTGAGATGGTTGATGGCCGCCTGCTTGGAGTCTTCTTGGGGGCCTTCGTTGCCACGGCGATGCTTGCATCGGGATCTTGGTCGGTGTCGCGCCGCAGGAGGCGCTGGGGACTGTTTTGAGGTGAGAAGGTAGATGAGGATAGACGACGATGGTAATGGTGCTTGCGATGGTGACGGTGCTGATACTGATGACGGTTATGATGATGGTGAAGATGGTGGTGATGGTGATCGTGACGGTGATGGTGGTGATGCTGATGAGGAGGAGGAGGTTGATGATCAGGATGAGGAGGATGAGGATGATGACGATGAGGATGACATTGATGGTGCGTATGTTGATGATGCTGATTATGCTGGTGGTGATGTTGATCGTGATGGTGATGGTATGGTGATGGCGACGATGATGATGGTGACGGCGATGCGAATGCTGGTGATAATGATGAAGATGCTGCTGCTGCTGCGGATGCTGATGACGATGACGATGATGGTGATGCTAGTGGTTTTGATGATGATAACGACGGTGATGATGATTGATTGTGATGCTGGTGGTCATGATGATGCTGGACATGATGATGATGGTGGTGATAATGATTGTGGTGGTTGTGGTGATGGTGACGGTGACGGTGATGGTGCTGGTTATATAACGGTGGTGGAGATGGTATGGGTGGGTTGGTGATGGTGCGTGTGATTGCGGTGATGAAGACGCTGTTTATTATGATGACGGTGATGGTGAAGGTGATGATCATGGCGGTGAGATGATGATGATGATGCTGATGATGACGCTGCTGCTGGTGCTGCTGCTGATGATGATGATGATGATGATGGTGATGATGATGGTGATGATGATGATTAGAAGGACGACGATCATGACGATAATGACGATGATAATACGAAGGAAGAGGAGGAGCAGGAGGAGGAGGAGGAGGCGCATGAGCAGGATGGAGCGATGCCCGCAGGCTGAGTTCGGCTGGCCAGGTGCTGGGCAACTCCTTCGTCTCGAAGCGGGGAAACTCCTTCACCGCGAACCGTTAGCGGCATCTTGGCAATTCCAAGCGCCCTTCCTTCTGCCCGCTCGCGTCTCCCCTGCATCCCGCTCCCTCCCCCTCTCCCTTCGGAGGCGCATCACCCTCTTCGCTCGTGCGAGCGTGACGGGGTGTGCGGGCGTAATGCGTCGCTCTTCACAGAGGCTACTCCTATACGAATACGGGCAGCCAGTTGTGTCTGCTAACCCCATGGTTGGACAGACTCCTCAGTGTATTGTCTGGGCGCATTGCGCCGATGAGTTTCCCGTGTAACGCCTCGACAGCTTCTTGGCATCGGCGGTGGCTTGCGGTGGAAAATTATCTTCCACCCTCGTCGTCATCACTTATACCTCCACCTCCGTTGATGCCCTTGTCGTCCTGCTCTCCTCCTCCACGTCTGCCTCGTCTTCTTCGTTGTCCTCCGCTCCTTCCCCATTTCCCTGTTCTCACCCTCCCTCCTCTTCTACTTCCTCCATCACCTCGTCTCACTGTCCTCTCCCCCTTTTCCTGGTCCTCCTCCTCCACCTCCACTCATCCCTCGTCCCTCCTGCTCCTGCACATGCTGAAATTCCTGCTCCTCCTCCTCCTCCTTCATCTCCTCCTCATCCTCCTCTTCCTCCTCCTCCTCCTCCTCCTCCTCACACTATCCTCCTCCTCCTCCTCCTCCTCCTCCTTCATCTCCTCCTCCTCCTCCTCCTCCTCCTCCTCCTCCTCCTCCTCCTCCTCCTCCTCCTCACACTATCGCCCCGCCCGCAGATCCCACAGGCGCTGCACAGGCGCGCGCCGCGGGCTTTTCCCTCGCGCCCACCTGCAGCTCCGCCAGCCCAGACCCCCGACGTCCTGCCTGTTGTCACGACGTGGGCCCACGGAGGCCCCGACCCAGGAGGAGGAGGAGAAGGAGGAGGAGGAGGAGGAGGAGGAGGAGGCAGGGAGGGAGGGAGGGGGGGGAGGGAGGAGGGAGGAGGAGGAGGAGGAGAAGAAGGAAGGGAAGGTGGAGGAGGAAGGAGGAGGTGGAGCAGGAAGGAGGAGGAGGAGGAGGAAGGAGGAGGTGGAGGAGGAGGAGGAAGGAGGAGGTGGAGCAGGAAGGAGGAGGAGGAGGAGGAGGAGGAGGAGGAGGAGGAGGAGGAGGAGGAGGAGGGGGAGGAGAGGAGAGGGAGGAGGAGGAGGAGGAGGAGAAGAACCGTCTCTGCCTGCCCCGGGGACCAGCGAGGGCCCCTGGAGACCGAGAACCTGAAGAAGCCCGCCGCCGTGTTTCTCCCACGACGCGAGGGTCCGGGAGCCGAGGGTGCTCTGGCCAGGCGACGTCCTCCCGGACATGACCGCCCGGCGCCCCCCTCCCCCCCCTGACCCCCCCCCCCCGAACGGGGCCGACCGACCTGCCCAGGACGAGACGCCTCTCGTCGGGCCCACTGCGCCCGTGGTGCGGCTGCGGTCGCAGACTCTCAGTATCCTTTAAACGATCCCCATCCCCATCCCCATCCCCTCCGAGACCCCCACCAGATTACCACCCCAGTTGGGGATACACCCCTCGAAACCCGAAGGCATCTAGGGGGGTAGGTCGGCCAGTGGGGCCCAGACCACGCCGCTGGGGATGGGGATCGGTCAAACGATACTCAGACTCCCCTGCCGCCCACGACCATGCGACAGCTGGCACGAGGGTTGATCGGGTCCTTTCAGACGGCGCGGTGACCACAACGCGTGGTGAGTGGCCGCGCGCGGTGATGTCTTTTGGGGATTCCGAGGTCACCGCGCGGTCTGTCTCCGCACCGTGTTGAGACACCCAATAAGAACAGTCCTCTCTCTCTCTCTCTCTTTCTTTCTCTCTCTCTCTCTCTTTTTCAAGGGAGAGAAAACCACCCAGACCCGACAATTGGAGTTTACTAAACGACCCTGGGAGTTAACTGAACAGCCCTGCCCTGTTGGATTCCTTCCTCGGGTGCGTTTGCTAAACGACTTCGCGTGTCGGGGTGATCATTCTGGGGGTGGACTTGTTGCCCTCTATTTTGGGCTGGGGCAGCCTCATGGTCCTCGCCCGTGCGCCCTCCGCCCTCCTAGCCTGGGGCACAGCCGCGGGGCCCTGGGGCCCTCGGCGAGGCGGCTCTCGCGCCCTCGGCGCGCGCTCCTGCGGGCCGCGTGCTCGCCCGCGCCCTCCCCCCCCCGTCGCGCTGCTGCCCACGCGGCGGCCCTCCCCCCGGAGGGCGACGATCGGCCTCGCCCGTGCGCCCTCCGCCCCGGAGTGTGCTCCTTCGCCCGGGGCACAGCCGCGGGGGCTCCTCCTCCTCCTCCTCCTCCTCCTCCTCCTCCTCCTGCTCCTGCTCCTGCTCCTCCTCCTCCTGCTCCTCCTCCTACTCCTCCTCCTCCTCCTCCTCTCCTCCTCTCCTCCTCCCTCCTCCTCATCCTCCTCCTCCTCCTCCTCCTCCTCCTCCTCCTCCTCCTCCTCCTCCTCCTCCTCCTCCTCCTCCTCCTCCTCCTCCTCCTCCTCCTCCTCTTCCAGCACCAGCACGATGACCGTACGGAGCGAACGTCGATCCCCGACGAGAAGCGGCGGCGAGCCCGGCCGGAGGGGGGCCCATCAACCTCCGATGCCACCGGGGTCCTGCTGGCTGGCGAGGGCCGCGCGGGGAGGACCGCTCGGCGCGCGCAGCGAGCAGGGCGCGCGCTCGCCGAGGGGCGGGGCAGAAGGCCCAGCGCGCCTCCGACGAGGCTGCGAGAGGCTGCTGTCAAAGCCACCGCGTGCGGCGGCGAAGGCCAGGCTTAGGTCGGGCATGTCCCCCCTACAGCAGGCGGATTTTGGACGAATAATTGCGTAAACACATTCAAAACATGCTCAACATAGTAAAGCAAGTACTTAAAATCCGACTATTTGTTGATTATGTTTGCAAATTCTTCCGGTAGAAAGACATGCACGACGTAAGGCCAGGCAGGCCCTGGAGGAAGCCAAAGCCCAACGCGCGGATGCAGCGGCGCGCGCGGCCAAGGCACGCCAGGACGTGGCGCCGCAGGCGCCCTCAGACACGGCGCGCGTGCTCTCGTCGCTCGCCACTGGGCTCGAGGCTTTTCAAGCGCCTCAAGGCGATCGGCACCCAGTTGCAGGCGCTCGTTCCCGCGCTCCAGGCTCTGGTGGCGCCTAGTAACCCTGATGCTCCCATGGGCGGTGATCCTCCTGCTGCTGACGGCGGTGCCGCCGAGGGAGCTTTTTGTTCCCCCAGGCTGCCGCCGACGCGGCCGCCGCGCGGGCTCGTGCGGATCGGTCGTGCCAAGAGCTGCTCGCCTGGATCGAGACCTGTCGCGGCGAAGGGGCGCAGGCTCTGGCGCAGCAGGTTGCCGAGTCCCATGGAGTCAAGCATGAACTCGTCCGAGGCGTCTTCGATTCGCTCCTCGAGGCCGCCAAAAATAAGGCCACGATGGAGCCAGGAGAGCCGAGCTCCTAGCCGGCCTCGGCAGTCCGTTACCACCAATGTCACAGGCGTCAGTGGGCTCGAAGCTGTCTTAGCTGACCGGTGCATTCGAAAGTGTCACGCTCTCGCTGATCATGGCCTTTCAGTGCGGCGGCTGAAAGTAGAAGTGGCGGGGCTGCGGACGGCGCGCAGCCATGCCACCATCAGCGGCTACACGCGGTGGAGGCACATCAGGCGGCCTCTTGCAGCGTGCTCCCTTGCAGTCAGGCCTGGCAGACATGGACAGCTTACCTTCCACGCTTGCAGGTGGCCGTGCGCGTGTACTTCATTGTCGTGGGCTGGTGCCGTCCGGTGTTCCCGAGGTCACGGTTTACCTGCGCCACTATGAGGGTCAGTTTCTCGCAACTGGTCAGCCCTTACTCAGTCATCAAGTCTGCGGGCCTACCCTTTTTGTCATCGCTGGAGATTTTCAGATGCTGCCAGGTGGGTTGCACGGCAGCAAGTGGATTGATGCGATCGGCGGCGCCTGTGCTTTTCCCGCAGTGCGCCACCTGTACGAATTCGAGTGCCTCGGCTGGGCGTGCCATCGATAGTCTGTGGTGGCGGCCGTCCTGGCCCACAACGTCAAGGTCGAGGTTGTCAAGGACGGTGGCATGGCTCCGCAGTTCCCCATCGTCATGCCCGCGCGCACCCTCGCGCGGGCCATGACGCACGCTTCCGCGCCGTTGTACCACCACCATCAGCAGCATCACCGTCATCATCATCATCAGCAGCATCACCGTCATCATCATCATCATCATCATCATCATCATCATCATCATCATCATCATCATCATCATCATCACCATCATCATCATCATCATCATCAGAATCATCATCATCATCGCCAGCATCATCATGATAAGCAACAGCACTATCATCGGCAGCATCAGCATCACCATCAAGATCGTCGTCATCATCATCGTCGCCATCCTCACCATAATCATCATGATCAGCAGCATCATCATTATCATCAGCAGCATCAGCATCATCATGCGCATTATCAAGATCGTCGTCATCATCCTCGTCAACATCCATCCGCATAAGCATCAGCATCATCATCGTCATCATCATCAACATCATCATCATCATCACCAACACCACCATCTTCATCACCACCACCACCATCAACATCATCAGTATCAGCCTCATCAGCAGCATCGTCATCGTCATCATCATAAGCATCATCATCATCATCAGCAGCATCATCATCATCATCATCGTCATCATCATCGATGGGAGCTGGATGGGCCAGGCCCGCCCTCAGTACGATCAAGCCGAGGCATGGGCAGTCGCCTCTGAGTGTAGCCAGAGTAACCCTATAGCGTGCTCTCTGTCATGCGTGGCACGTTTACGCATGTGTGTGCTGAATTGCTATCCGTGGAGCGTGCCTTGCAGAGCTCCGCGCCAGGAGCGGTCTCCTATGCCGACCATACGTTTGTGCTTGGCGGTGTATGTCGTGGTGACAAGTGTCTGTGCTGCTCAGCTCGACCCACGTCTGGGATCGCATGGAAGATTGGGGCGGAGTCGCGTTTGTTGATCTTCGCAGAGGTGAAAGGTCATTGCACTGAGG